GATGTCATTCTCGGTCGCTTTTTAATTTAATTTTTTATTTTTTATTTTGTAGGGCAGTGTCTGACATTTAAGGGGCGCTGCCCGTGCGGTCTGAGGATGGGAACTTTGGACTGCTCTCTGTACTAAGAAAAAAGCTGTTAGGGCGGTCCGAGGTCTCCATCTTCGGATCGCTTATTCTTGTAATTTTGTAAAGAATACGCAGCCCGAGGTGACTGCCCAGGGACTTGGATTTCTTAGTCCAGAGAGCAGTCTGAGGTGACCGTTGTGACACTTAGATTTCTTAATCCAAAGAGTAGTATGAGGTTCCCATCCTTAGACCGATTAGTTTGTAATTTTGTAAAGAGTAAGCCGTAAGAGAATGGGAACCTCGGACTGCTCAGGCACCTTTCTTTTCTTAGTCTAGAGAGCGGGTTGAAGTCCCCATCCTCGGACCGCTTATTCTTGTAATTTGTAAAGAGTAAACAACCTGATAATGTGAACCTTGGAGCGCTCTATGAACTAAGAAAAATAGGTGCCAAGGCGGTCCGAGGTTCCCATCTTTTGACCGCTTATTCTTTAAAAAATTACAAGAATAAATGGTCCAAGGATGGACACCGCGGACTGCCTTGGCACCTTTTTTTTTTTAGTCCCGAAAGCGGTCCAAGTTTCTCATCCTCGGACCGCTTGAGTAGTGTCGCTTAAAAGTCAGACATTGCTCTACTAAGTAAATAAAAATTAATTAATTAATTAATTAAAAATTAAAAAGCGGTAAAAGGATGGCATCTTTAGACCGATGGCTAATTTTGTCAAAAAAAAAAAAATCGTGTTGACTTACCTTAGTTGTAATTTCTTGATATATAGCATACCGTATTTTCGGATCTTTTTTTAGGTCCATATGTAATTAACTATTAAAGGAAGCATAAGTATCTACAAATTTTACTGGCCTTAATTGAGAAATTGATTGGCACAATTTTCAACTGATAAAAAATGCTCAATGCCTCGTCATGGAGATTGCTATCTACAAAGCTTTGAAATCATGGAAGTCTAGAAAAAGAGGAACGTGTCAAAACCAAAAATTAAATTATTCAAGAATAAACTTCACAAAAACACTGCTGCATATATGAGCAAGATAATGGTCTAAATTGAAAAAAAATTTCGTTAAATATACCAAACAATTTATGTGCAGTAACATAAATAAAGTTTACCCTATATTGAAGGAGAGTACTACAATGGACATAGCTTTAAGTGTCAGAATCCAATATTAAAATACAAAGAATACAAGGCTCCTAAATAGATTGACATATATGCCTGATAAAGAAAACTTTATAACCTTTTCTACAAAATGATATTTTTTAAGGGTGCGGTTTCTATAAGGCTGCAACCTTAAACAATCCAATTAAGGTGCACCTTAAAATTTTATTGTAAAAAATTTTGTTGTAAAAAATACTTAGTATTATTTTAAAATCTATTTTCGTTCCTAATTAGAAAATTTTAAATTTAAAAAATGGCTAAAATCAAGTAGATCTTTAAATATAAAAAAATCTTCAAAATGGACGGTCTAGATAATGTATTGCAAGATGCAATATTTTCGGGTCTCGATTTCTTTTTTTTTTTCATATTCATGCATCTCAATGTCGAGATGATCGATTAGAAGGTTTTTTCAACATTAAAACAACATTTCCGATAGATTTTTGAGATACATATGTGATTCTACATTTTAAAGTTCCAACCTTATATAAACTTTTCCCATTTTTTAAAGACTAACGAATAAGGAATAAAAGACCAGTTCATATAGTATAAGTAGCAGTGCGGGAAAAAACCATATGGAAACATAACGTTTTGTTATTACTATTTTTTATTCTTGAGAATCTATCAAACAACCACCATGCACTATCAAGATATCATGTATAAAATGCAATGAACAATAACCTGAAATATCGTGAACTCTATAAATTCTCAATAAAACATCATTTACAATCTTAGGTGGTTTAAAGGCCTAACTTCCTCGTTTTCATGACCCAAAGGTTTTGGGGCGTATTGGTTAGGTGTCTAATATTTGGTATTAGAGCAACCACAGGACCCGAATTCAAATCATAGGAAACCCGGGTTCAAATCTTAAAAAAGAGCTAATTGAATGGCTACTTGAAAATAAAATTAGAGTGAAAGCCATCATAGAGAAGTCACCATAGAGTAAGAGTCGCCGAGGACATCGTCCTAGGAAAGGGCTACTCATGGAGAGAGTTACCTGAACTAGAATGAGAATCACCATAGAGTGAGAGCCGTCGAGGATGTCGGTTGCATAGCATGGTTGTATGTTATGTGGTTTAAAAGCCTAACTTTCCTCATTTCCATTGCCCAACGGTTATGGGGCGTATTAATTATGTCCCTAACATAATTCTGTAAAATAAAAAGAAATATTATAATTCCTGCAATTTCAGAGGAAAAACCTAGATATTTCAAAGATAACCTGTTCTGTAAAATAAAAAGAAATTTCAGGGGAGAAACCTAGATATTTCAAAGATAACCTGTGATTCCTATAAAATGCTGAAACCTAATAAAAAAATCATCATATCAAAATTAACCCTGAGTTCATAGGAAAACCATAATTTCCTGTAAACACTAAATTTGAAGCTTCGCAAAAGAAATTTCTAGAAAAAACCCCTAATTTCATATCAAAATTAAAATTGGTGTGAATCATCTTTCTTTATAAATCCATTCCGCAGTAAAGATTGAAGGGGGTGAACAAGTAGAAGAAGTACATGGGTTTCAATGGCTAAGGCATGATGCTCATGCATCAATAGCAAATAAACAATATTCCCCATGTCTTGAAGTTGCCAGAGAGTGAAATAAGGATTAAGGGATGAGGGTTTGCAGAAAGGGATTAAGGGTTGAGGATTTGTAGTGGGAATGGGTGGAGAGAGAGTCTCTGGATTTGCAATGAGATGGCAGAGAGAGAAAGTAGAGTTTACACCGCATTGCTTTTCTTTAGTTTGGAAGAGTGCACAGCTTACACAACAGTGCTTTTTCTTTGGTTTGAACCATACCATCTCATATGAACCTGCAATTTTCACAATTTCGTATAAATTCTTTTAATGTTAGAACCACTTGTGAATATTATTTTGGAAAAATTTAAATCCGGTTGCAACCTTAAAATATAGAATTAAAGATGCACCTTAAAAATCTATCAACAAAAGTTGTTTTAATGGTGAAAAACCCTTTAATTGATCATCTTGATTGCAAGATGTATGAACATGAAAAAAAAAAAAAATGGATTTCTTTTGCCAGAAATAGTGTATCTTGCAAAAAATTATCTAGACCGTCCATTTTCAAGACTTTCATATGTTTATAGATGTAATTGATTTTAACCATTTTTAGAGTTTAAAGTTTTATAAATTTTATAATAAGATATGAAAATAGATTTCAGATAATCTTAAGAATTTTTCACACCAAAATTATATGTTGTGATAAAATTTGGAGGTGTGCCTTAATCAGATTGTTTACCGTTGCAACCCTATAGAAACCCCACCCTATTATTTTTACCATAAATACCGTTACATGATAGATGTGAATGCTTAAGCAAACCATATTTTAGTCTTTTGTTATGAATGGTTAAAAACAATAATTAATGCTTAAGCAAAAAGGCCCTAAGCCTTTTGCGCTCTCTCATCCGCTCATCTCTCTTCCTCATCCACCTATCTTCTCACTGCTCTACCTTCCTTCCCCACAATGTCCCATATTTCTGTTTTAAATCATGAAATCTCTCTTGTCATCTCTACACAACATCTTATAAGATGCTTATAGTGAGATCATTTACCTTCGATGCAAGGTGGTCATAATTAATCTCGGATATTAGGTGTGAAATTGGATTGTTGTATTTATTCCTTTGACTATACACACACTTCAAAAGAAATTTTATCTAACTTTGTGATATGCCCAAGCTATCAGATTTCATATCGGATGGTTATAAATAATTGTAACCTCCATGTGTCAAACATAACTAGTATCATTGTATAAATGGTCCGACAGTGATTTCATACAACAGTTGTATAGTAATATGATGCAACAACATTAAAAAACAATGTTAGGGCCATTTGTTTGATCCAAATTTTAAAATATATCTTATTTACATTCTAATGAACAATCACAAAAAAAGAAAAATTTAGAAAGTATTTGTTTTAACCCAATTAACATAGGTCATCTATTTTGGTGAGATGCTTAGATCTAGGCCTTAGAATGATCTTCTATCTTTTCAAATTTTTTAGATGATTTTATATCATTAGATTAACAATATTAAAAATAAAAAATAATTTTAAATTCATAAAAACCTAGATTTGGAAATTTATCAAAGAGCTCATCTAGATTCATCGTTGGAGGGGATACATTTTGACTATATATAGGGGATAAATTAATAATAATATTATTTTTTAGATTGATTATTGAATAAAGAGAGTGTGAGTGCAAAATTTTGGGTCATACAAATACCACAAATATGGTTTTCTAGAAGTGTGGTTGCATTATACTATGATACAATTGTTGCATGAATTACCTACTGCCGACGCTTTGTGAAAACCAAATAAAGCCTCACCCCAAATCCTAATCCAAAAAGAATTTTCGGAAAAAAAAATCTCCATGATGGCTCTAAAAATCAATTCCCAATACCAATAATAAAATTTGATACCCAAAAAATGCTATAAATTTTGTAGATATGTGAACACTTATTTTTAGGGCGAAATTTACAATCTAGATAAGGTGTTATAATATAAAGTATTTGTAGAGCTTGAAATCTTAATTTTTTTTTACAACCACAATGTTCAAGTTCAGATGATCGATGTAAAGGTTTTTCAATGCTTGAATTGTAATTTTGGATGAGTTATGAGGTAAGGCTTTACTTACTTTGATGGGGCTGTAGCCCTATTAAATCATATAGATATATATATATATATATATATATATATCTCTAGGAAAATGATTTGGTAAGCTATCTCGCCTTCAGAAAAAAAAAAGAGTGAGCCGAACGGCTCTTACATTTTCTTGAAATCGAACGGCTGTGGTTTCGTGAGATAGTGAAAACTAGTAACTGTGTGCACTGACACACTCTCTCTCTCTAGCCTGCACACAACATCTCTCCCTGTACCTAAACTCTCCCTCTCTCCCCCGTGAGCCTGCTCCCACCCTCTCTAAATTCAGTGAGCCTCCTCCCATTGTGTCTCTCTTCGGTGAGCCTCCTCGCCTCTCTCTCTCTCTGAGCCTTATCTCTCTCTCCCCCCCGAGAACAACAATCAGCCTCCTCGCTCAGCAACCTTAAATCCCCAAATTCAGCAACCTTAAATCCCCAAAATCAGCAACCCTAGATTCCGTGGACTCTGGAATCTCTCTCATTGGAAGCCTCCTCCATTCTCAGCAACTCTAAATAAAAAATAGTGGTTTCAATCAACCATTCACAGCAAGGTACGAATTCAATTTACATTTGGCATGGTTTCATGGAGTTCTTCTTGAATATTTTTAGCTACATTTTTTCAGAGCTATTTCATTGTATATCAGCTCTGTGTTTCATCTTTGCATATTATTAATCCACCAACTCCTAAATCTATGGACTTTTACGATTTGACATCAAAATGGATTATGCAAATCGTACAAAATTGCATCTCGGACATGGCAGTTTGGAGATCATTCACAAATGCAGTAATTTTTTATTTGAATATTGGGGATTTAGGTTTACATTTTTGTGGATTTAATTATGCCTTTCTCTTGTACATTTACTATATAATTTTTACCCATATTTCTTCACCGTTGTCACTCTGCAAACGATTCCAATATTTTCTTTGCTTTGCCATCACCATTGTCACTCGGCAAAATCTCCATCTTGATTTGTTTTCTCTATCTCTCTCATCTTTGTTGAATCCGAATTTTTATAAGAAGAGGCTCAAATCTGTGGCAAAAACAGCTCCAAATACCAAAGTAATATGGTTATGAATTTAGATTTTCATTTTATCTATGTTGTGCTTATTTCCTTTACATGACAATTTGGGGAAAGTGTTTATTTTCTCTACCTGCATATTTTAATGTTTGGTTATTTGAAGTCCTAATTTGGAGACTTTTTTTTTTTTAAATTGTTGAATGGCATCCATTGATTTTGCTACGTTAAGTGATTGATTTTTTGGTTTAAAATTGTCGAGTGGCATCCATTGATGTTGCTCTGTTAAGTAATTGATTTTTTTTCGTTAGGTTTGTTTACTTTCAATCATCAAGCATTTTGGTTTGTTAATGGTTCAAACAGGGTGCAATGGTGTTGCTCTGTGAAGTCC